ACTGTGTTTTATCCTGAAAATAAATGTTGTGTTTGAAGCCAGCTAAGTTTCTGTGCTCTGAGCGCTGACCCACTCACTCCCCTTTCTGCTTGTATGTATACAGACGTGGTGGTGAAGATTTAGGTCCACCAGTTTAGCAGCTACAATCGTCCTTGAAGACCTTTATGAGCATCTTTGGCAGCGTCTAACCCACATCCTCCAGCCCTCGTCTTTTTTATCTTTCAGTAATGCACAGATGGTTTCACCTCAGTGACAAACTAGTGGCAACAGCAAAAATCCTGCAAATACTTTGTTTTTTTATTTGTTTTTCTCTTACACAGAGAAAGAGAGAGTGTGTGTGCACGTGTTCATGGACTGATATCATGCGTGAATAGTTACTAGTTGTATTTTTCCTGTTTCCTCCAGAAACCGTTGCAGCCAGATATGGGCCATAATTCACTGGCTAACTTCCAGATTGAGAAGAAGATTGGACGCGGCCAGTTCAGCGAGGTGTACCGAGCGAGGTATCTGCTGGACAACACGTCTATGGCCCTGAAGAAAATTCAGGTGAGGAGCGTAAAAGCAGCGACACATTTAGCCCGAGTTAAATCTGTCACGAGGTCAATGCTAATATATTCACACCAGCGGGTGTTTCGGTCCTTGAAGTTCACCTCAGCCATACACGGAGCATTTACAGTAGTAGAAGCTCACATATAAATACTGCTGCTGTTTCTGGACAAACACAGCTGGGTCACACTCGCTGAGTTCGACTTGTCACTATGTAGAGAAATTTAAGAGAATGTAATTGTGAATGTGTTAGTGCCGCCAGAGTGGTCAGCATATTCAACAAAGTCACATTTGTGAGGTATTTGCCTGTGAAGTGCAGTTTGACTCACAGTGTGACTCTGCACTTGTGTGTATCTGCACTGGCAGTATCTGTGGTATTCACTGCCTTCTACACGCACACATTGATAAGAGGACACGTTATGTACACACACACACACACACACCTCAGATATACGGGCTTGTTACTCAGATATGAAACACCTGTAGACACTCCAGCGCCACCCTCTAGATAACAGTAACCGTGTTCTCTGTTTAGTGTTTTTTTTTCCACCCTTAGTTTTCTACATCTCTCCATCTTACATTTTTTGAATATGTCATAACACCTCCTCTCTGTCCTCTCTCACCCTCTCTCTCTCTCCCCTTTTGATCTCTTGATAGATATTCGACTTGATGGATGCCAAAGCTCGGCAAGATTGCATCAAAGAGATAGATCTCCTTAAGGTAAAGAACCAGAGAAGAGGGAGACGGCGCCATGCGCTGCGCTCTGTTCTCTTAAGGTGCCTCAGCTGAGACCTTCTACCACATGAAAACAATTGATCTGCACCAGACGGCGTGGATCTGCGTGCTGTGTGTGCGTGCGTTTCCTCGGATTGTTACAAATACAGTGGGGTGTTGGAGCATTTGTGCACACGAGTGAGAATGTGAATAAGTGTGTGTGTATTGCTTTCTCCTTGAGTGTGTGTGTG